TATAATATATTGATAAATATTACAAACGATAAACCTTAACAAATATCGGTTATAATTATTTCTTGGGGCGCACTATAAGTTTCGGGAACGAATAAGAAAAAATACTTTAAATGGTCAGAAATTAATTTATTGTTTGTCAAAATATTCTCCGTTAGCGTTAATGCACTTTTCATACGAATGAACCAATTTTGAAAACATTTATGCCACTCCTCTGTGACAATCTCTGAAACATATTTTTTATACTCTTCGATAATGAAAATCTTCAGGTAATGAAAATCGTTGACTGCGTAACTGGTTCTTAATTTTTGGAAATAAATAAAAGTCACTAGGTACCAGGTCGGGACTGTACGCGGGATGGCTCATAAGGTCAACGTTGTTCACTTTCAAAAATTCATCTGTCTGTCTGGCCGTGTGAGAACTGGCATTATCGTGGTGGAAGATGATACGTCGTTTACGATTATTTTTACGGAGTTTGTTAATAATTTCCAGCAAAGAAATAGTTGTGTACCAATCACTATTCACGGTACAACGACTCTCCAAACCAATACTAGCCACGTGTCCAGATTTAATAAAAAAAGAAGCAATCATCTGCTTAGAGGCACTTTGCACGTGCGCCACTTTGGTTGGTTTCGGCTCATCTCGAAAGACCCATACTCTCGATTGCTGCTTTATTTTGGGATCGTAACTATAAATCCGTATTTCATCATCTGTTATTATGTCCCACACCAAATTTGACGCCCCTTCGTTGAATCTGGTAAGCATGGCATTGCATCAAGTGACGCGATCCGTTTTTTGAGCCTCAGTCAAATTGTGTGGGATCCACCGAGAGCTCAGGGTTTTCACACCCAAATGTTTGTGTAGTATTGATTGTATTTGACTCATGCCTATGCCTAAAGATGCTCGAATGTCATGGTATGTCACACGCTTGTCTGTTTTGATCATACGGCGCACAGTATCGATGTTTTTGTGGTTCACAGCAGTGGACGGGAGACCATCACGAAATTCGTCACTGAGATTCACATGACCGCGTTTGAATTCTGCAAACCAGCTATAAACAGTCGTCTTGCATGGTGCTTCATCGCCAAAAGCAGTTTGAAGCCGAGTGAAGCTCCGCTGAGCTGTTAAATTACACTTAAATTCGTAGAAAATCATACTACGAAAATTTTCACGAGTTAAATCCATGGTGATTTAGACGACCATTTTCTAAAATTACGCCACATTGTAAAAACAAGTGACAGTCAGATGAAACAGACTGTATTCTACAGCCAAAGAGTTCCTTATTCAAATGTTGTAATTACTTTGTAAATATTGTTTATGTAAGTGGCCAGTTCCGGAAACTTATAGTGCGCCCTATGTATTTTGCCAACTGAGCTACGGATCGAGTCAGTAGACCTTACGAATTTTGGGTCCGTTCGTTTTGTCTTTGAGTTGGCTTAGGTACGGTAAATGTAATTTAAAGCTATTTTTTAATAAAATATACTGGCAGACACAAAATTATTTAATAAAAGAAAAAAAAATAGGTATGTAATATTAGCCGCTATGAAAATAATTTGAAATAACATGAACTTAATATAAAAAAGTCACAATTATTAAAATCCTTTATTTATACAGTAACAATAAGACAATATCAAAATAATTGTTTAAAGCAAAATAAGTTTTCATTCATAATCTACTAATATAAAGAACAATTCAAACAAAAATATCTAAGCATTACATTTCATATCGAGTTCTTAGATTTTCGCGATTGTTACATTACATTAAATTTCAGTTTTAACAAAATTATGACTACTACAAACATGAAAAATTATATAATTACTACGAAATAGAGAAAAAAAAAATTTTCCATACTAACAATCGTTAGATTAGGTTATTATTAATGCAGAAACATTTTATGTTGTTAACAGTAGGTACTTAATGCAAATAGACTAGATATCTGACAAAAAATGTTGATGAAAAATTTGTTAAACTCGCGGTCAATATACCACGGGGACATAACAAACTAGTGGTATAACAAACGGATCCGAATTTTTCTATGCGTTCGTTCGTTACAGATATTTGTTTTTGGTTTTACAGCTATGTAAAGTTTTTCATAGAGTTCTCACAAATATTTCTTTCTTAGCAATGTAATATATTTATAAACAGTAACTTCTAGAGTTATTTTCTCATTCTCATTCTCAAAGAAATCTGTTTTACGAATAAGTAATATTTTTAAAATTTATTTCTTAAGATTCATCAACCGTTGTTGCGTCTATTACGTATTCCATTTTTATATAGGTAAAATTCTGACTAGGTGTATAACTACTTACAGATAGAAAACAGCTTGCACTTGGCTGAATCATCTTAATGTTTAGGTTCATAAGAAAAATACAAAAGAAAAAAGAAAAAATATGTAATAAAATAAATTACAAAGTACGTATTAGTACGCTTACTTGCCGAGAATAATATATCAACAGTTACACTATGCTCATTGTGTAAACTTGACAGACGAAATGTTGGTGAATTAAGACCCAATTTATTTCTTCTGAATGTTCGCAACAGAAGGTCAACAATCTTACCAATAATATTTTTAATCTGAATCCTTTTTTTATTTGTTACACTTAATAAATAAATATTACACAACATCTCATACGTTATATAGATTTTAAGACTTTCATGGTTATTCACTAAATGATTATCACTAGTATCAGGTTTCTTACCATGGTATGACTTCTTTTTATTTTCTTTCTTTTTATTAAGAAACCTGATACTAGTGATAATCATCTCATACGTTGCTCTGATTTCAAAGTAACTAAAGCACTTATGTTATGGAAATCCGAAACAACAACGGTACCACAAACGCCCAGACCCGAGACAATATACGAAAGTTAGTTTCTACGTTGACTCCGCCGGGATCGAACCCGGGACCTCAGTCATAGTGACACCATGGAAACGACGAAATGGTGTGCAAGCCACTCGACTACAGAGGTGGTTTGAATTTTTTGTTGTGGCAAAACATACCGTATAACTAATTACAATCTAGTACTTTTTCAAGACTAATTTAAAATTTTAATTTAACATAATTTCCTAAAATAAAAGTACCTTATGTAAAGAAATTGTACATCGACAAAAAGAAATTGATATTAGGTAAGAGGAAGAAACTCTGTTCATGTGCTCATAGTCTAATTTAACACGGGCATTAATATTTATTGTATTCACGATAACTTTTTAAATAAAAATTTGAATACAGAAAACTTGTATTAATATAAAAATTTACCTCAATTAAGCGGCTTTTAATTGCCATCTGGTAACTTGGCCCAGGCGAAAATAAAACCGTTGTTACAATTAGATTTATTACCTCCGTAACCCTCTTCAAAAAGTCAAGGGTCGAAAAGAATATGGAGGATGTGTTACGCATCTCGTGTTATATGGGTGCCTCGTACTCGTAGATCTCCAGCGACCTTAAGTACTGACAAGGTTAATAGGTGTACTCTATAGTTCTGAAAGTTTGACGGGTAATTTACACGGGCATATAAACATTTTTTTACGGAACCACAACAACAAAGAACGGAGACAGTTTCGTCTTTGAATTAAGGACCAATAAAAGTTTCTTAATGGATGTATTTAGAGCATAGATATTTAGAGGAATGCCTGAGAGAAAAAATAACGCTTGAGAAAAAGATTGTATTATGATAGTAATGTTCACATGAATCAGCTTAATTTGGAAAATAAATGACTTCAATTGTCATTGTTTACATTAAAATAGCGTTCTGGTATAATATGGCCAGTGGTTCATAATACGTTCATAAACCTTTTTTTTAAAGTCGACGAGTTGAATCAATCGTTTTTAGCGTCCTATTAAAATCACCGTGGGTACCTATAGTGTATATAATAACTAAATCTTAACATATTTGACGGCTTTGATTGCTCAATGTTCTATAGACGCTGAATGAGGAGGTCGCGGGTTCGAGTCCCTGCAGGACCAATTTGGAAAATGTTTTTTTCTAAATTGGTTCTGCTCTGGGTATTATGGGTAGTGCCGAGGTGTAATTTCTGTTGCTCTGGTACTTATAATATAGGGTATTCCCTAATTTGAGAGTAGTTAATTTGGTGTGATTGTAAAAAAAAATTATTGAGAATAAAGTAATATTGTAGCGCTTTCTATGAGAAACAGTTATAAACATATCACTTATTAGCTTTTCGATAATTTCGGTCTATAATTGTTACACATAGGAAATGAAACATTTTTTCGGATACAAATCGCGTATGTTTGTTTTTTCAAGCAAACCAACGTTTTGAGCCCTGTACAGGTCTCATGGTCACAGTTAACTGAGGTGGTAGTCATCAACCAATTACGTCTAATATTAATGCAAACCACTCTATTTTTCATTATAGTTGCAAAAGTTATTAATTAAATACCTTATGAATTTTTTTTGGACACCAGTTTATGAACCAGTATTTCCTCTGATGAAAAATCCCAAGCAGACATAAAACTAATCAATATGTTTTCATTTATTCCAATTTCCTTTATGAATTAATAATAAATTTAATGTAATAAAAATTTATATTGTTGAAATAAAACAATTTATAAAACACGTTGTTTAGTTTGAAAAACCAAATATATGCGATTAAGATTAAAAAAAATAATTTCATTCCCTAAGTTAAAAAAACCGTACAAATTATTACATCCTATATACTGCATACATTTTACACCCTTTCCTCATCGAGGTAGGCAAATATCACACCCTCCTATTTGCTACTATCCAGATACATCTTTAGCTGTATTATTACACACTTTTGTTAAGTTTATCCTGTCATCTGTAAGTTGCAAATAAGAGTTTGCTATGTAGCAATAATAGACTATTGTACCCTGAATTTTGCCTTTTGTATTTTGTACACAATTTTCATAATTACTCCATATTTCAATTCGAATATAAAATTTAATTTAGTTATATCACGAAATTTGGTTCTAGATTCTTATTTTTTAATTTTAACAAAAAAAAAAAACGAACAGACATACTTACATTCATAGTAGTAGCTCATTTGTTGCTGCTGTAACGATCTGAAATGAGAAAAACTTTAATAAATAATGTTTCTTTCACAAGAAGTTCTTTTGCTACTAAAATACGTTCTACAACTGAGTACGGGTCTCCTCAAGACGACGGCTTCAGTCACAGTCTGGAATGCTGTTCGAATGTAGGCTCGGGAATTTGTCTAACAATGTCGCTTATTTTGAGGAAATATTTAAAAGTCTAAAACTTTATATTATTTAATTAAGATAATATAAGATAATATGCAAGTAAGGTAAAAAAGACAATAAAAGCTTCTTAAATACTAGAAAATAAAATTAGGATTTTTTAGTTATATGAACCCAATTGGGTCCCCGCGGCAAGGTGCTCAAGATGCTGGCAGATTTCGCCCTTTGTATTACTATGTTAATGCGTTGGGCAAGGTAGCTGCCGGCTCTTGGGTTTCGCAGATAGTCTAATAGGAAATGAAACTATTTTTCCAGATTTAAATCGCGTATATTTGTTTTTTCAGACAAACTGACGTCTCGGGCCCTTTACGGGTCCCATGGTCACGGTTGACTCTATTAATATTTTCGATAACATTTTATACAGATGAAACGCGACACAACACAAAATCACACAAGCGCGAAAGAATGTTAGTATCAAAACAGGTAATCGCAGCCGATTGCGCGTGCAGGCTTTCCCGCGCGTGCATGTCTTGGTTGTCAGTGTCGACGTCTCACTGAACCTAAAGTGTGCAATTTATTGCGAACGTATTGGGTAATGTTTTGGTTAATAAGTTGGCCACCTTGCTCTTTGTGGGAATTAAGGACTTTATATTTCATCGATCTTCTTAATAAACAAGGGTCGGACCAGTTTAATTAGCGAACATTGTTAACCGGTCGGTAATTTTATAGCCCAAAAGGATAATATACAAGATGTAATAATGTTCTAGACAACTCAACTTACATGGTCTCAAACAAGGGTCCTTAATGTACGATGACTACGAGAGCAATGAATTTTACTCCGGAGGACGATCCGAACCGCTTAGACCAGAACCAATTTAGAAAAGTTCTTTGCTCAAATTGGTCCTATAGGGCAATAGTTTCTAAACTGGTTCTACAATGCTAATCGTTGAGCCACCGAAGTTTAGAAAGCAGAAAGAAAATGGCATAATGTAAACTAGTGTTCTCAACTCGACGTCGAGGTGCCAATTTTGCGAGTGAGAGAAATAACTTAATACTACGTGCTTGTTATAATATTAGAATAAACTGCCTCCATGCAGCGGTCCCCCGGTTCGATTCCCGGACTAGGAGAAATATTTTTATGGCTTACATTTATTTCACTCGTGAATTTGGGCGTAATTTGTGGTTGTTGATGTGTGTCCATGGACCCGCGATAGTGGGTTTCCCTAGCGAGGAGGCGCCGTTCGTGCATCCAATAATAAACAATTTTTTTTACACACTCATAGCCGCACTGGGGAAACCCAGTATCGCGGGATCATGGACACACATTAACAACCACAAATTACATCCAAACACACGACAGAAATAAATGTAGAGCATATAAATATTTATCCCGGCTCAGAAATCGAACCCGGGACCGTAACCGTAACCGTTCGGCTATGGAGGTAACTATTAAGCATTTCGTGTCACTGGCGATGCGTAGTCGCGTTTTAAATACGTGCGTACTTCAGAGTGTAAATTCGAAATTTATTTGCTATCGTGGCCACGCTCTGGTAACGGGGCTTCAAAATCCTCTTAATCCAATCAATAACACAACGTGGGAAGTCATATTCATTTCTAACACTTTAAACGCTTCAAAGCTTGAAACGTCACCAGTTGTCAAGGAAAACCGTGATGGTTCGCAAAAAAAGAAATGCCTTCTTAATAGGAGGAGACACTCGTTGCACAAAGAGGATTGAAAAGCAAACGAACTAGATATCCGTGTCAAGTTCCACTTCTGGCAATCTTAGGAGCTATTGATTTGGGCGCGGCCTGATAAGTTGAAAATTGTGTATCCTCTGGAATTAAAAAGAAAATTTCAAATGGACTGTGAATTAATACTGTAGTTTTTGAGATGTGTACGACGTTTTATTTGAATTTAATAAATTTAAAACAAATGCTGGATGCATTAGCATTAGAATTAAGTTGTTATAACATAGAGAGCCCTTAGACGTTTCTTGCTTATGTGAATAGTTTGCGTTTTAATTTTATTTTCATTTTTTGTTTTACTTGTGATTTTTTGCAAAACAAAATAAACATATTTACGTTTTATATTTGAATTTTTGATATATTTTTCTATTATGGTGTTGTTTAGTTCATTTTTAGAGGAATTTTAATGGTTGGTAGTTGAATTTGTTTCATTCCGATCAGAATTCTTGTCGGCCAACAGTTAAATGTTGGTAATATAAGGTATTTAATGAAGATTAAAATTTAAGTATAATGCCTTTAGGTGAAAATTCGTTTAAACTTCTCCAAAGTACAGAGCTTACATTTTAACCCTAAATTACACGGGATCTGTGTCAAGCGACTTTTTGAGCTCTCGACCGCCCTCGTCGCAGCCGCTAGTTCGCCAATTACCCAGGAAAACAGCACTTTCACTTGGAGCACAGATGTAAATAACACATACGTCACTCCGTATATGAAAATTTTTATAGCAACGCGCACACAATCATACGGTTCCAATGTACACGCATAAGCCTAGCATCTCGCAATATTTAGAATATTTGGAATCATCAGTAACATCGCTTACTACTCGTATATTATTGGAATAAAGAAGATGATGTTTAAGGTAAGATAATATAACTTGTTTCTTTGTACTTTGTTCTGAGCCTAACAAGCTCACTGATAGCAACCATAAAAAGTTATGTAGAAATTGATTGCAGAAACAATTTTAAGTATCAATTTTATCATGTTATGATATGTTATGGTATACTTACTCCAAGCGCATGACTTGTTCCCGTCACGTAGTATCATAAAAAAACACTACCTATACATATGTCAAATGAATTCAAATTTATAAATTATCATTGACGTTTCGTATAATTTGTACGTTAATTATTTTATTTTGTTTGTTGAACGAGGATATTCAGTATAAAATGAGTTAATTTCGTCAAAACATAGATATTAAATTCTGTGTAGAATTAAATGAATAATAATGGCAATAATTTGTTTAATAATATAATCTATATACCTCTTATAAAATATTGTGGTATCTTTTTATAAAGTTTACAATACAATGGTATATTGCTTTTGTCTCTACCTAGAGATGTGTCTCCTCTTATTTAAATTATGGAAGTCAGAGGTTCGGTTCGGGTCGATTTATCTACTCTATACTATATGGCACATTAATTTAAAAATAACATAAAGCGCGCATGCGTGCGTGTGTGGGAGCGTGCGTGAGTGGGTGCGTGCGTGCGGGCGTGCGTGCTTGCGTTTCTCACATTGTTTTTCGCGCATATATGGTTTTATCATATAAATTATTTCATTCATATATATATGTATATATTTATCATCACATCATTATAAAACCCAAGCACAAAACTGAAAGAACGCTCGTTCAGATAATGGACTCAAGAGAATAATTATTCAATCATTCCTACCATCTTAAATGTGATTGTAGGGTTTGTTTTTACTAACTCTTCATGGTAGTGCATTAAGCCTGTTTTAAGTCAAAGTTGTTCGCCAGTGCCTCGTAAAAAAAAGAAATGCATTAAAATGTATAATCCTTACAAATTGAAATTGGGATTGAGAATTCGTTTCATTCAGTCATATTTGTTTCAGTTACAAATTTCAATGCAAGTTAAGCCCTATTATCATACATTTGCGTTTTATACTCGCCTGGAGGCTTGGTTCTGTAAATTCAATTTGGTTTCCACACGTTTTCATTAAAATATCTTTTGTACAACGTCAACTACATGCTTTCATCGTCAATTGGGAGATTACCATAGGTAACTTTTTTAAATTCTACTTCGAACTTCACAAACAGCATTGACTTTTCAGTTTTTTAGAGATCTACATACCTGCGTGTGGAACAGTTGATACCTTTCGCATTGTGACTTGTAATACTTATTTAGTTTTATGAATTGAACGTGTCCAAAGAGTAATGTGCCTGTATTCGTGTATGGCTTTGTTAGGGCGGTCCAACCATGTGGGCCGTTGTACACAATTTTTCAAGGTCGCAGTCGCTTTTTAAAAACATCTTTTTTTATGAAAATGTTTAACTTTCGAGCTTCTGAGCCTGAATACTTTTTAATTTTTTTGTGAATAAACAACTTTAGATATTGTTGAGATTTTTTGTCTTTAACTTTTACGTTTATTCTCATATTAGTAGACTTTGTTCTCTTTTAACTCCTAAGCGATATAATGATTAATTGTATATGATTGTTACATATTTGTTTAATACCAATAGTTAACCAGAAGTTATCGCGACTTCTTTATAGATAACAAGTCGGAAACGGTTGTCGAATGAGCTAACACCACTGTTAATTAAATACATCAGTTAAGAAAGCAACTAACTACTTGATATACTGAAAATTTAGTCTCTTTTTTTGTGCATTGACTTTCTGTAACATTAGTTTTTTCGACTGCATTAGTTTTATTTTATTATGCTATGGAAAAGCGGTTCACACACGTAAGTTTCGCCTATTGCTATATATTCTGTTGAAAATATATAGGACATGCCTAGAGGTACACTAAAGAAAGGTTGAATTATGGTAACAAGTTTTATATGAAGCACTGGCCACATATGTCAGAATGTTTAAAAGAAATCAAAAGACAATTGATATAATTCTTTTTTCAAATTAATTAACTATAATTGCGATTTGGATATGGCAATTTCCAGCACACTTAAAACGAATCAAGATCATTTCCTCCGAGCAATGAAAGTACTGTCATTCAGCTGCCGCCAGTTTGGATCATTTCATTCTGCATTGTCCTGCTTAACGTGTAAAGGTTATTACTAGTAGATGGCCTAATGAAGATATATGAACAGGCAGACATTCCCCGCCTCCTGCAATCTCTACTAGAAAATGTAAAATGTTATGAAGATA